CCCTCACGAGCCACAGCTGTTGCCCAACTAAGGACCCTGCAGCTGCAGCTCGTTTGGAGTAACTTAGACACACACAGATCTCACAGTACAACATATATTCAGGCCCCCACAGTGTTCTGCTCTGTTCTCAGTATGTCTTCAGTGAATCATTTGTACAGTGATATAAAGGATTTTAAAGCATGAAAGATGAGGTTGATACACACAACTAATTTGCTATATAAACAAAATATAATATTGTTTAACTAGATTAAGTTTACATCACTTAAGTTTTTACATCCTCTTTTAAGTGTTCTAATCTATCAAATGGGAAGGTGAAAATCAACACTTGATCACTTGATCAAATTCTCAGGCATCTGGCTTGCAGACCCTTCATTATTTCAACAATATTAATTTTGTGTGGAGCTATTTTAGAGCTCAGAAACATTCCTTAGTAGAGAATGGAAGAATGGAAGAAAATAATTAACTATACATCCTCAGAAGTATGCTCTTTCAGAAGCTTAAGTTGAACTTTTTTTTTTTCTTTTTGCTGAGACGGGGATGCAGTTTTATGTTGCCGTGAGTGCTTTACTGATTGTGGTTTTGAGCTTGTTTTCAAGAAGAAAATATCATTCATTTATGCTGTCATCCTCAAACACTGTTTGGGGAATGTCTGAGAAATGCCCACTCTTGCTGGAAAAGTCAAGAGGAGTAGCCATGAACTGATACCTGATCTCCTCCAAACTGTGCAGGAAAGGTTGCTGTTCTTTTTCCATGGAAAGATGCTTTCTCCAAACAAAAACCCACCACACCTTATTTCCCAACCCCAGTCACTGTATTGGTTATCCAACAAGGCAACATTGATGTCCGATGCTAGATTTAGTTACTTTCTTCGTTAGATGCAAGTGCCTACACCTTTTGTTAAAATAAACAAACCAAAGCAACCAATGACCTTCTCAGTTATTTCCATTTCTTACCCATTCTGGGCAAAGAGGAACTGGGAGTTCCAGCAGGCACAATGAATGAGCAATAGGGGCTATAGGAAGCACAACTCTGTAGTTCACATTGAGGGATTTCCTGCCTGAGAGTTTTCAGCTAATTTCAGCTGCAGAAGTATGTGGTAAAGGAAGGTGTTCGTTTGGGTAGGGCACATGCACTCTGCCAGAGAGAACTTAGACACAATTTGAAATTTTACACAAAGCACATTCTCCACCCTCAGATAGAGGAAACAGTCAGCGAAGTGTGCAGAACAAAGATGCTTATGACTCATGAAACAGATGAATGGGGTTTTACTGGCATGCCTAGTTTGAGTTGAATATGAAGGATAAAAAATGCCTCAGACCATCCCTGGTGAATTAAGCAAATGCTGGGTTCAGCTGTGATTATGCTTGCTGCTCGTATTTGGAAGTTGATTTCTGTTGGAATTTGTCATATCTGTTGTTTTTCTTCATAAGATCTTCTTTTGTGTAGCCAGCAACAGTGGGTCAAAAAGAAGGCATGCACACACACAAAAGCTGTGGGTTGTATTTTAATAGGGATCCCTACTGCTTATCATTGCTGGTTTATGTAATTGTCTGGAAAAGGTCAGCATAGTTTGTGCTGTGAGCAACTGAAGCTGAAAATTTCTGTGCTTCTTTTTTTTTTCCCCCCTGCACTGGACTTGTAATATTTTGACTAAATGCAGTATGAAAAAGGAACTGCAGGGGAAAATTACTGAATTCTAGCCTCAGGCTATTGCACCTTTCTTCTTAAATTGTTGTGAATCTTACTAACAAAGCTGGTCCCAAATAACAGTTGGTCACAAAATATTTAGTTTAAAGACCAAACATTTTCAGATCTTTAGCTCGAAGGAAACTTCCACAGTGCTTGGCTAGATTATTTCTGCATCTCTCTTATAAATTCTGTGCTAGAATATCTATAATTTTGATTTTGTTTTCTCTGGTGCATACTCAAACAGTCATATTCAGTGTGATTTTTTTTATGTTGATTATACTTTACTAATTATTTCTATAGGCTTTGCATATAATTTAAAATATTTTCTTTGCTTTTAACATTGTTTTGCTCAAAGCAGCTGACTGGTTGCTCAAATGTATTTCAGATGAGGATAGGGCCGAGGGAGTGTTTCTGCTCTTGGCTGAGTGAAGTTAGCCTCTGCTGTCTAGGGGAAAATCAGGATGAAGAATTCAACCTCAGCTTTTGTTTGGATTTCAGAGCTCTACAAGAAGGCTCAGAGAGATTTGGGCTTGGTACTTGGTCCTCAAGGTTCTAGGGAAGGAACCAGAAACTTGTGTTGTATTGAGAAGAAAAGCTGACATGTCACCTGCAAAGCCAAGACCTTTTGTTCTTCTTCAGAAATGGGGAACCTGAAGAGATCACAGGCAGTGGTGCTGTGTTAAGGAACTGCAACCTGAGAAAACTTAGAGCAAAGGCAACAGGATGAAAAGGAACATATTCCAGGGAAGACACTGGCAGAGAACATTTGGGTTCTTCAGCATTTTTTTCCCTTACTATTAAATATGTAATGGATGGAGTGCAAAAGATTTTATTCCAGTGTTCCTAAAAAAGCAGTACCAATTTCTTCAAACTCCAAGGGCTATATGTTGTTATTCTTGCTGTCTGTCTTTGGGAAAGCAGGCAGGTAGAAAGATATGCACAACAGAAAGATAGCTGAATTGTCTTGGAAACATGCACTTTCTTCTCAAATAGATGGGAAAATTCCATCAACAGTTGCACAAGCTGCATTTCTACCAGAGGAACCTGGGAGTGATTCCCACCCCTTGGCTTCAGATGTACCTCTCTGCACCCTTTCTGTATTGAGTAAGGTGAAGACTGGATATACATATCTCCTGAAAAGTTAAGCATGGGATAAAGTTGCAGGATTTTTCAGGAGATCCCATAATCAGGGTGACTGGGAATCACAATATGTTATGCTCCTTCTGGGGAGTATGTCTGTCCTTTGAGGTAAATATAGTACAGATGCTCAGAAATTGAAGGCATGTTTATTACATAAGGAGTTCATCTACCCAAATAAAGAGAAAATAGTATCTAGGAGACTTGCTTTGTAATTGCAGAAGCAGTCATAAGAAGTGACTTTTGACACACCTGATGTCACTTTCATAAAATATTTACAGAAACATGTGAGTAATGAGCTGTAACCAAAATAAGTTTTACATCTGAAAGCAGTAGTCTGTGAGTGAAGAAAATGGCCAGATTTACTCAGAGCAGCAGAAGCTGCAAGCCAGCTGTCTTATCAGAATTAAAATAGAAGTGAAGTCTTTTTTCAGTAAGGTCTATGTGCTTGTTTGTCTTTTGTTTCCTCTTTGTAGCCTTGTTTTGCCCCAAATCTGACACAATAAAGTAAGTTAATTATTCATATTTGAATTTTGTTTCATAATGAGTATGGTTTCTAATGCACACCTTTGTGTGCATTAATTTCATTTAGGGAATAAATAAACCTAAAATAGGGCAGGCCAATCATACTTTCCCTTTACCTCATCTCAGATTTTTCTTACCAGTATCAGGCATTTGCATGTATGAGGCTACAGAGGTGCAAAGGCCAGATAAAATTATGTAACAACCCCTGCTACACTTTTGAAGAGGAATATCCTTCAGCAGATGTTAGTCAGGAGTGCTGTAGTTAACAGGACTTAGAGATACTCACACACCTGACGTAGGTGTCTCTTCTCCTACCAAAGTCAGGAAACACAGAAAGCTAAAATCTCAGTGAGTAGGAGAGTGCAACCTAGAGTTTGACCCAGCAGGACAGTTTTCTTGGGAAATGGTAAGGAAAAAGAGGGCCACTGACCTAGAGTACAGTTATAGGAAGAAGGTTGGCTCCTGGAGCCCTACAGTGCCATGGGCAGTCATGCACTGAAATGCAAAGGAGTCCTGCAGGGTGGGTAGCCAGTGCTGTTGGTGATGTCTTTCTATTGCCTCCTGAGCTTGTCTGAATAAGTTTGTGTCCCAGAGGAGAAGCCAGAAGGAGATGCAGGCATAGAATTTAATTCTCTGTGCATGAGGAAACAAGGCTGGAATCTGCATAAGAAACAGGGAGGATCTGAAATTAGTCATGACACAAAAAGGCTTTTATGTGATATAACCAGCTCCTCTGTGACTGCTTAGACAGCAGTTCAGCTGTCCTAAAACTGCCTGCTGGGGACCAAATGCTGGCTTTTGTCAAAAGATCAAATGCTAAATAACAGAAATTAATGTCAGATACGTTTCCCTCTGGAAGTGACTGAGAATATGGCAAGACAAAATATCAGAAAAGGGCAGTCTTGTCTAAGTCAAGCTGGAAGTAATGCAAGGGTGTGAGTGGCAAGTATTAGTCATCGGTATTTTCTGTGCTCCTACACTGGCAGATCCCAGCTGCCTGCCTAGGCCAGATGCAGCTGTGCAGGGCAGCGTACAGCCCCAGCTGCATCTGTGGAGGGGTCCAAACTTTCTGCCTGAACAAAGATTGAACTTTCTTCCCTTCCTCCAGAGAGCTTCACTCAGCAATAGAGCAACTGTGGAGTATTTGTTCTGCTGACAAGTTGGAGGATCTGACTTCTCGCAGGAGTTCCGCACACTCTGGATTTGATAAAATACAGAGCAAAACCTCAAAACCTCAGTCAAGACTGACTGTTTGCTGAGTCCTAGCTGGTACTGACTAAATGTCTGCTGAATGGCACTATGCCAAGCACTACAGTTTATCTTATCATCCTCTCAGAAGGAGATTTGTTCCATTGTGAAACGAAGGGACTCTAAATTTCTGTCAGTTAAGTCTTTGAGAGCCTTTTAATCAGAAACTTGGAGTACTACGCTGGTTGACTGGATTCTGACTTATCAACAGTGAGAAAACACTGCTAATCTTTTCATGGTTTGTGGTTTATTTATTCATAGAAGCTAAAAAAACAGATAACAGGAATTCATGGGCCATCCATTTAAGACTGCATACTCAACAAACTCCAAATAAGCCTAGCCCAGAAAGTTTGCCAAGTTGTAGGTACTATTTCTTTCTTTTCTGCAGTATTTATGTATGTCAAAATTCTAACTGCTACAGCACCTGTGGTTTGTGAAGAATCTTTACTATTTAAGTCTCTAGCCCTGCTGCCATAGATGGTCTCTGAAGAGAGCTGAAGATCAGCACAGCTGCAGTCCAGAGGCTTCCTATTTTCATTGTTCCTAGACATCATCCAGATAACAAAATGAATTTATTACCCCCTGATAGCATGGAAAAAATCATAGGTAGTTTGGCTTTGTTGTTTGTTTGGTTTTTTTTTTTTTTTTTATCTTAGGTATTGGGTTTAGAAGAAAATCAAAATGTCTGTGTCTAGGTGTGGACTTGCAAAGAGAGGAAGGGGATCTGTTGCCCAGTGGACTTTTTATTGCATGTTCCAGCCTTTCTTCCCTCAAACTGGAGCTAAGCTAGTTTTGTGTTTCTGGGAGGAGCATGCAGCACATTGAGCAGAATACAAAAATACTGCTCTTAGATAATAGGATATTAAGTAATAGCCTAGGTTCTTGGAAGCATTTGCAAGCCAAAAACTTGGGCCTTGGGGCAGGGCTAGGCAGTAGCAATCCATTTCCACTGCAGTTGAACTGGTCAGGTCCTTTCAGCTCATGGAAAATCATAACATTTAAACCTTATTCCTGGGCTTCCAGCTCTTCTGTGCATGCATGGCTTTCTGGTGTGTTGATACTGTTGAGGCTAGTAAAACATACTACTAAAAATATATATTTAAAGCTACAGTGACAGACAGGGTTTTAGCAGATTTTTAGTACAAACAGCACTGAGTCCAAGCTTTTCTAGTCCTCTTTTTAATGTAATTTTTTAAATGTGATTCATAGAAACGGAGTACTAAGCATGGGCCTATTTAAATCTCTGGCTTTATCTGATCCTGGCCTCTGGAATTCTGAAATATTTGTCTGTTATAGTTTTGCAAATCAGGCAAATCCAAGTCAAACATCCTAGGACCTGTTATTCTTTTCACCTCATGTAAATGTAATTAAGGAAAAACCTAAAAGAATAGTTACACTGAATTATAAAAAAGTTCTGCTGAGTAAGCAGGCCCATCTGTCTTCTGTTTGCATGCTATGACTCACAGATGCCCAGAAATCATCCCGCTTCCTGCCTGCCCTGAAAAAGAAGTTTTTACAATTAAAGTGTAGCTACCTTCTTTTAGAGTTAATTTTGATTCCTGTGCAGAAAATTCATTCTAGAGAAAATAAAATGGATGTAATTTGCTAACTAGTTAAAGGAGAAAACAAAGTCAAAAAGTATACTTACTTTCTTATCTTTTATCTTTTTCTGTACGTCACCTCTGTGATACTTTCAAAATCATTCTGGAATAGTAAGACCTGATATATCTGCTGTTCCTCATTGTCTGTGTGGTCACCAGCAGGATACAGGTTAGGGAGCTGGTGAAAGAGCTCATGGAGCAACTTTCCATCATTTCCCAGCAGTCCTGACACACTAGGGAGGTCTCTGTTGACTGGGCCTTATGTGACCCCCATTTACACAAGAAGGGTCAGAAGGAGGATTCAGGAAGCTACAGACCTATCAGCCAGACCTGGATGCTGGAGCAGATAATTTTGAGTGTCATTGTAAGCATGGAGCAGATCATTTTGAGTGTCATTTTGAGCACACACAGGACACTGAGGGATCAGGCCCAGCCGGAATGGGTTTAGGAAAGGCATGTCCCATTTGACCAACCTGATCTCCTTCTATGACAGAGTGACTCGTTTAGTGGATGAAGGAAACACTGTAGATGTTTTCTGCCTGGAATTTAGCAAAATTTTTCTCATCGTTTCCCACATGATTCTCCTGGAGAAACTAGTAGTCCATGTCTTGGACATGTGCACTGTTCACTTCATAAAACCTGGCTGGATGGCTGGGCCCAGAGAGTGGCGGTGGCTGGAGTTCCATCCAGCTGACAGATGGTGACCAGTGGTGCTCCCCAGAGCTCAGTGTTGGGGCCAGTCCTGTTTCATGTCTTCACCAGGGATCTGAATGAGGGGATCAAGTGTGCCCTCAGCCAGTTTGCAGATGGCACCAAGTGGAGTGGGCTGGAGTGTTGAATCGGCTGGAGTGTATGAAGGCTCTGCAGAGGGATCTGGGTTGATGCGTGGTGTGAGGTTCAACAAGGCAGAGTGCTGGGTGCTTCACCTGGATCACAACAAGCACAGGCAGAGCTACAGGCTGGGGGCAGAGTGGCTGGAAAGCTGTCCAGCAGAAAAGGAGCTGTGTGTTTGTGTTGATCGCTGGCTGGACATGAGCCAGCAGTGTGCCTGGATGGGTAAGAAGATCAGTGACATCCTTCCTGGCTGGTATCAGCAATTAGAATGTGTTCCCAAAATACCAGAGAAAGAAAGCATTTTGTAAATATTTACTATGAGTGCATTGTTAGCACTTGATTAATATGACAGAACAAGAGACAAACGTTCTGTTTAATGTTGTGGTCCTTGTTCATTTATGCTGCTTTGTTTTCTGAAGGCAAAAGGACACGCAAAAAGAGTTTAAGCAGTTTAGAGAACAAGGTTATCCTTGCAGCTAGAATATCTGCTCTGTTTTTCAGTAAAATGATAATGCATTAACATTCCCACTAGATGAGTGGAAAATAAGGAAGATGTCATTGTGCAAAACTTTCCATACAGATAGATTGAATGTGTCAAGAAAAACAACCTATTGTTTGATAGACAATGGTTTTCAAAGAGATCATTGCATTCACCTTGCTGGATTTGTGTTGGAAGAGCCAGATGAAGTTGATGCTGTTCCACATGCTGAATATGAAAATTTTATTGGAAGGCTCAGAGAAGTAGCATTTCCAGCCACAGACTTGCTACTGAGGTACCAGCTAAGTCAGTTTTGTATATTCTCCATGTTGAAGCACAGCAATACACAGAGTACTACATGAAGGAAATGTTAGTCTTGATGTCCCAGACACACATTCATTTGCAAACAGTCCATAAGCTAAGGACTCTTTTGTTTAGATGTAAGGTTTTTGTGGCCAACTTCAATAAGCATTTAAACTAACACAGCAAGGACATAACTAATTATTAGTGCAATCAGTTGTGTGATACAGTTTGGGTAGCTTTTCAGATAAGGAGAACTGCTAGTGAGAATGCTGATAGAGACTGACATTTTTTCTCAGCTTGTCACCTTTCCTTCTGTGATGTTATTTAGTTGAACTTGAGAATTTGAAATAACATCCTTCATTTTGAATGAGAGAAGGGGTAAAATACATCCATTAAAGATGATCAGCAAGTGCAAAATAATCCTCACAGCTTCGTGAATACTGCTTCCCCCTCCCTGCAAGCCATCCATTCCTGAGGTTTGTGGTTCTGATGCTTTTAATAAATACCTACTTCATTCCTTTAACTGCATCTATTCTCTGTTCCAGATTAGCTTCTCTTGGTATCAGTTCTGGCAGAGTGATGATTCATTGGTGTGCCCTTGACACTCAGTTGTTTTACAAATAGGACTAGTTTTGTAATAGCTTAGGATTTCCATAAAAAAGAGGGTGGAAGCAACTTCAATTAATGTATTCTATTCTCTCACAGTATTGTGTAGGAACTTGAGTTTCGGTATGATACCTATGGATTCTGAACTCCAAGTCTTTCGTAATTGGATTTATTGTTCTCTCTCCTGCAGGATTTCTTTGCTGTACAGTCAGTATATTGAACATATTGTAACTGCTCCTAATGAAGGAAAACTTAAAAAAAAAAAAGTGTATTAATAAGATTTCTTTCCATTGTCCTCCAAAAGTACATTACAGTCTCAAGTGTCCTTCGTAGAGGGGTTTGCATTCAAAACAATTCTCCATGCTGTTATCTTAAAAAAAAAAAAAATATTTTGAGTCTTCCTGGTAAAATACATGAAATCTGACTAATAAAAGGTAAGTAGACTACTCTCAGTCCTGCAGTGCTCAGACCAGAAAGTAAATGCTGGAAAGAGCTGCTCTAAAACTAGTGATACATGTTGGACTATTGTTTACAGTTTCACTATAGCTCTGGAAGACACTGGCTTCAGCAACTTAAGAGACACCATGAAAGATATCTTTTGAAACAAATGGCAAAGTGTGATTGCTTGTCTCAATGCAAGTAATACTCTATGATTTTTCTTTTCCACAGAATGAAAGTCCAATTGATTCTACTGATCTCTTACTGTGTTTCAGGTTTACAATGCTCAGGCTCTGTAGGTGATGTACTCAAGGCATGTTCACACATGGCTGCTTAGGAATGGTGCCAGCATCCTAAGAGTCTTCTGAAATACCACAGCGCTCACACATCCACACACTGGCTTGGTCACAGTGGGAAGTGGGGGACTGCATATGAAGGCTTATTTCTCAGATTTCCCTACCTCCTGGGTGGAGATGTGACACATCAGAAGTACATTCTTTTGAGAGAATTACGAGATGGGCACCTGCATACTTTTCAACTTGTCCCTGACTTAATTAATGAAATGTCATCTTCATATTGGCTCAAATTATCATTCTGACACAGGTACTTAAAATAAATTCCAATTCTACTTTTTATCATACCTAAGTCATTATTCATACAGAGTAGATAAGAGCAAGGACTGTCTGTTTTTGTGTTTGTATGTGAGGGTATTCCATTCACACACTACTACAGGGAGAAACATTTGGGAAATGACTGGCACATAGCAACAGAAAACAATAGGAATTTTTTGCTATTTAAAAGATGAACCCTTCTACAATTATAATGAAGACTCTGACATTGCAAACACAGAATCACGGAATCATTGAAGTCAGACGGCCTCTCTTGAAATCAGCTAGTCAACACCCCAGCTGAAGCAAGGTCAGCCAGAGCAAGCTGCTCTGGACAAACCTCATACTGATCATCAAATTATATTAGATTATTTAAAAAACTACAGTAGTTTATTAAAATCATGTACTTTGTCTTACCAGATTCTGTACTTAACATTCATGGTTCCTGTTTTTAACTATTTCTCTGAAACCGTAACAGTGAAGAGTTGTTTTGTTGAGAAAACAAAAAGGTCTGTTCTTAATCGCATTATTTCAAGAGCTGAAATTTTAGGACAAAAAAATAGCAGAGGTTTTTTAATTATGCAAACAGCATGTCACCACTATTCTAGGCTCCACACAAAGCTGTATAGAATCTAGATCTAACATCCAGCCCTTGAGCAGAGCAGTTGATATGAATTAAGTCCCTGTACTGTGAAAATAATGTATTTTATAATCAAGAACTTGCTTTTTTTCCCTAAGGCTTTGCTCATCTCAGGGGTGAAAACTAGCAACTGTTTCAGCAAACCACAGCTGATCTCAGCTTCCTTCATGACTTTTTAACGAAAGGGCCACTCCACTTGTTCTTGGCAAGGACTGATTGCTTCAAAAACAGAAGAGGAGAGGGAAATGTTGATGAATTACTTTGAAATCTGCAAATAGTCATAAGCATTCTCTGCTTTCTTCTTCTGGAAGCTTCAAATTCTTTCTTATGTGACTTGCGTTTCCATCACATGACTTTCAGTGATTCATACCCATCTCCTGTTTGTCATAACTCTCCTTTCACCCACCTTGTTTATATCTACCCCACTCTGAGATTGTTTGTTTATAAAATAACATGTGTTCTTACTCATTTAAGTACTCCATAAAGATCCTGGACACAGGAGATTTTTTCCTACTCATGTGAGTAATGTCACAGGCATGAGGTATCTAGGATTTTCAAAGGATCCAGACAGGTTGGTTTATTAAGATTAATGAACAGGCAGAGCCAGAAGATTCTTTGGCTGGTTGGTGATTGGTTTTTTTCAAAGATCCTCTGATGGGCTTGGTTTGGCTGCAGGGGTCAGTAGTGGTTATTGATTTTTTTGCTCCTCTAACTTTTCTACAAGCATACTATGTCATTTCTGAGAAAGCTGACACTGTTTTAAAATTTCCCATGGGTACTATGAATTCCTTCATCTCACATCATATTGCCAGCTACCAGTAGGCATCAATCAAGGGTTCTATTAAACAAGATGCTATTGACCTTGAAAATGACTTTTTATCTCTTATTGAAGTAAACCTGATCTGACTTTACAAGATGACCTAGAGGAGGTTTTTTTACCAAAAATGGGTCTACTTCTGGTAGGTTATTTTCTATTCCTATTTATTTTCAAATACAGGGCATCTTATCTTGGGGTTTGTTTAGGGAAATACATCTTCTAAAAGCTGCTTCTTTTAAAATCTGATTTTCTGTGTTTTTTCTTCGGACTTCAGTTTTTTCAAATAGAACCCCTGCAGATAACACTGCTCTAATGCATAACCCCGCAATACTGAGAGAGTTGTGAGAGATCTGCTAATATTCTTATTTTCTCTATAGCTGTATTACAGAACTACTGCACTGATGAGTGTTGTCTTTGCAGTGGTACTGCAGCCCTCCCATCCATACCTGAACTGTAGAGCTGCACAACCTCAAGAGGCTTCTAGGCTGGGCAAAAGCACAAGGGGCAGGGGGGCAGAGTTCAGATGAAAATAAGAATAATGCCCACCAAACAATTACATGGTGATCAGGATTGCTGAGGTTTATTTGGATTTAGTTTTGGAGTGTTTAGTTTTGTATTAAAAATATTTGTTGAAATGTTTACAGTCTTTTTTTTCCTTGAAAACAGCCATTAAAAAGCCAATCAATAAAATCTGAACTTTGCAAGTAGAAGTTGATTAGCTACTAGAAAGTGGATATTGACCAAAAAACACAGCTGTGACAGAGTTGAATGAACAGGAGAAAATTAGAAATTATAATCAATAAACACTTACTAAAAAAATAAAGAAATCATCAATTTTAATAGACAAATTTTATAATAAAGTTTGTGATCTGCCAAGTGAAATTAAAAGACAGCCTCCCAATGTTTCTGAAGGAGTAACGATACTTCAAATCACAATAGTGGACATCCTGGGTTTGGCTGGGACAAAATTAATTTAAATTACAGTGCTGTGTTTTGGATTTTTGTTGCTCAGTAGTGCTTAGACTAAGTGAAGGACTTTTCAGGCTCCCATCCTCTCTGCCAGTGTGCAGGTACAGAACAGCAAAGAGGGAGCATGACAAGGACAACTGATCCAAACTGGCCAAAGGGACATTCCATACCACAGAATATCAATATATAAACTGGGGGAGTTGGTCAAGAGGGCTGATCACTTCTTGGGGATGGGCTGGGCATCAGTCAGAAAGTGCTGACAATTGTATTGTGCATCATTTGTCTTTCTTTGTTTTTATTTTTCCCTCTCTCTCTCTCCTTTTCTCTCCATTACAATAACGGTGATGATTATTATTATTAATTATATTCTAATGAAATTATTCAACTGTTCTTGTTTAAACTGATGGGTTTAATCTTTTTCTGATTCTTCTCCCCATCCCACTGGGGGTGGGAACAGAGCCAGTGGCTGTGTGGTAATTTTTTAGTGACTGTGGTTACACCATGACTGCAGTGCAGCAGAAAATATAGACTGGGCTTCCTGGCTTTAAGGAAGAAAACACCCTATGTGTTGAGTGGTACCTTCACTCAGATCCTTTTCTATTATTTATTGCCAGGAAGCTGGAACGTATACCTAATTCCTGGAGCAGGTCCTTCAATTTTCCTGTTAAGAATAGCTTGTCCAATAGATGTGAATCTTGAGGAAGGTTCTTGAGGCCTCTCAGACAGGAGAAAGAAAGCTAAGCAAAGTTCCTTTTCTTCATCTCCCTGTTTTAGGTGTGCTTCCATCTTTTTTCCTCTGGGCAGTGCTCCTGCACCGCTTCTCTTTTCAATACCACTTGAGTCTTCCAAAATTTCATCTTGTTTCCATCTGACTGGAAGGAACATAACGGATGCAGAAGCCTGAGAGAAGGATTAGTGAGCTGCTTGTGTCTTTTCTCTCATCACACAGCTTGAAGTTGGATACAGTTGGTGCATTGAACCCATCTTGTCCTTTCCAAACCTGAAAACTGCGACAGATCTTTGTTATAAAGCAGAAAAAATCCATGCTGCAAATTGCAGCTGTTCAGGAGCTGACCCACCAGCACTCCAGATCTCTGCTGTAGCAATGGGATGACAGCTGGCTATGGCACAACACCCTGTCCCAAGCAAAGTAACTCTCACACGAGAGCCACCTGCACACAAACCACTCACTGATCTCCCTTTTAAATGAATGCACAGCTCCTGGGCCTCAGGGGAGGAAGGAAGGGGCCTCTGGTCACTGTAGAGGCTGGCATTTGTGGTGCCATGTTATGTGTCTGAGCTAGAGGTGAAGATGCAGATGGTGACTTTTGACATGGTGGTGGGACATGGCAAGCCACTGGCAGGAGGGGTGGCTTCAGTTTCCTTTCCAGAACACCATTTCTCAGAGAGCAGGCAGTGGAGGGGCAGAGTAGGAGACTGCTGCTCACTCCTTCTCTCGTACATCTCCTCAAGGAATGTCTTAAAAAGCCCCTACCTTTGTGGTCACACTATCTACTTATGGCTACCTCTGAACTATAACCTGAAGAGATCACTACTACCATATTTTTAATAAAAATATATTTTTGTATGTATGTAATATATATGAATATGTATTAATAAAAGGTGCTGCCAAAAGCAGTACAGACATGAATTTTATTAGTAAGCTTTGGACACGTAAAACGTGCATGTGACCTGTTCAGTGACCGCAGAGCATGTTGAGGTTATCAGGAAGATACAGCTGGCAATGTTAGATCTCTAATCAGAAAACACTCTTAAGAATGTTGAAGATAACACAGACAATCTGTTGGGGGAAAAAAGCACCCAGCCATGGTACAGAGGTCACACAGCCCAACCATTCACAGAGCAGTTTGTTACAACCTGAACAGGCAGAGACTGAGTATTTAGGATCCTGATGAGAACCACCAGTTCTGCACACACTTTTGCTTCAGCACTGGGTATGCAGAAATGTTCACTTGTTACCTTGTATTACTTATGTATATAAGTGCTAGAACATCTTGAGGAGGAGCAAATAAGCCATGTTTATATGCTTCCCAAGGCTCTGTTGTACTTCAGCTACAATTGCCTGTCTTATGTATAAAATGAAAAATCCCTCTATTTCCAGACAGGTAATTTTTCCTAGAGATAAAGAGATAAATGAGCCTCAAAATTAGGTGATGGCTTAGTTTGCATTTGTCATCACTGGTGATTGTAGGGCCTACATGATAAACACTGATGGCTCCTATGATGAGTGAGATGCATTGAAAAATAATCATGATTAATTTCCTTTTCTCTTACAGAAAGTTATTTCACACAACAGCCACGAGGGGAAAGTCACAGGAAGGGAACATCTGTTAACAAGCCTTTAACAAATCACTTTAGTGGCCTTTTAGGTGAGACTTAAGAAGAGTGATGGAGGGAGAAAACTAGTTAGATTTTGTACAGCAAAATCTTGTTATGAGAGAACTCCAGGACAAGATAATTTGTTCTTTCTTTTATAAATAGAAAAATTATGACTTTACTAGCATGCGTCACAAGGCCAGTGCTTAATAAGACATGCAGTCTCATCTCAGATGCAGGGCAGAACCTGTAATAAAGGACTAGCTGCTGAGCTAGCTGGGATGTCATGTTAACACTAATCCCAGCTCCTTGGAGAGCAAGTAAAGAGCAAAAGGACACACAGTCAGAGTACTATGCAATCACTGTAATGAATGCATATTCCCAAGGAAATAATTGCTGGATTTTTTAATAAGATTTTTTTTTTTTTAACTATGCAGTGGTAGAAGAGATGTAGCAAGACAGCTTAACAGAGGAGAATGCCTATGTTGTTTGAGGAAACATAAGATCTGCTCTACTAACATTTGTTTTGGATGAGCTCAACTTACAATTAAACAAATTCTTCTGTATTCAGCCTTTGAATCTGGCATTTTCATCTATCTGGCTTTATAAGCAAAATTTGGCTCTAGGTAGCAGTTGATATTCAAAAACTTCACAATTTTTTTCATAACTAGACTGTAAGAAAATCACAGAAACAACTGATGTTGCTAACAATAAGGACTGATAAAAATATCTCTTTGGAGAACTGAAGTTAAAAGGAATAGATTATAAAGAAATGAAGAATAGCAAATATCTTCTGCTCATAACATTTCCCTTTCTTCTTTTTCCCCTACCCCAGTTTTTCAAGCAGTAGTAGCATTAACTTCTGGTTATCATGCTGTTGAATCTTCCTCTTCATTAATTCCTGGCTCATCTTCTTCTGAATCATGCCAGAATTTAACCCAGTGTGAAATTTCATGATGAGGTTGCAAAGTAGAAACTTAGCAGGGGTAGCTGATGTCAACATCCAAAGGAGTATATACAGTCCTGTTCATCTTTCAAGGAAGATTTTTGAGAGGTAGCTGCTCTGATCCAGCTCTATGCATTGGAGATTAAATTAAAAACAAACAAACAAACAAAAACAAACAAACAAATAAAAACAAATAAAAACAAACAAAAAAAAGCCCCAAAAACTAGCCAAAACCAGCAGAAAAACCACTTCCTCCATAATTCAGCCTCTGCTTTCCAAACTGTAACTGGCTTCACACCAAAGACTCAGAGTTCTTTCTTCCAGAATTAATTTTTCCAGTGTTATAAATTCCACCTGCTTCCAATAGGAATACTGGTGAATTTTGAAGAATTATTTCAGTTACAGCAGAGAGAAGAAAGTATACCTAGGCCAGTGCAAACAATATAACTTAATACTCTATGTGTCATATCAGCAGTGCTGACTTTCTCCACCCCTTCTTTGTCATTGTTAAGAATACACTATGATGCCTCTCTCCCTGGCCTCACAGTTTATATTGCATATAAATAAAATCTCCCTCTTCCTGAATATGCCTTTGGGCAACCAATACGTTGTACAAACTGACAAGTTTTTTTAATAATGATTTAAAATAAAATTTCCAGAAATACAACCCTGCCAGCTCTCCACACTTCCTGTATCCTCATTCTTTTCTTCACACTTTTCAGCTAATGATATCTCAAGACAGTGTTTACATGGAGAAGCTGGGGCATGGTAAATCTGCAGATGTTTAATGAAATCAGACACAGATCCAGCAACTGAAGTAGAAGAGCTGTTCTGTCCTTTCAGCCTATGCCAGGAAAGAAAACAAAGTATGGGCCAAACAAAAAGGAGAAGAAAAAAAATGCTTTCTACCAGAAACAGAGCATTTGTCATATGCTGAAAACCTAAAAAAACACAAAAAAAACCCCACTGGCCATTAGTTCCTTCTCTAACTTTATATATGAGTGAGTCTAAAGAAGACCAAAGGAAACTGAACCAACATTTAAAACCTGCATTGCAAAACTCTCATCAGTATGCAGGACGCTGTCTTTCCATAGTAACCCTCTCATTGCCATATTTTAAATGTTGGTGTGGTTTTTACCTCATATGAAATTATTAAAGTTCCTTGTCTTCAGAAAAGAAGGCATGCCTCCTACAGGTGCAGTGTGCAGCCTTCTGCATTACTCTACCTCTGATTCTTCATTTTATCCAGTGAAGTTTTAAATAAACTTTAGCAAAAGAGCTTTAGAGAACCTCACAGTAGCATATCTCACAGGCCATGAGGTACTCCTGGGACATGAGTGCTGTGAGGAGGACATTTGGGTTTGGGCTGTCTCTTTGCCAAGGGACTTGATACAGAAGACATGAAGAAGGGGCGTCAGCTTATATATTCACTCTTCTTTGAAAACCAGCTAAGGCCTTTCTAGCTAAAGGAAAACAATATCTGCAGATTCCACACAGACTTAGGAAGTTGCCTGCATCTCCCTGTAGACAAAGCTCATTTTATGTTTGTACTTTGAACACTGGCATCTGTGGCACCACAAAGTGCCTTATTCTCTCTGCAGCTTGTTGGGACTTGTTGGGAGCGCAGCACAGGCAGCACTGAGCATTATGCTAAGTTCTCCATGGGAATGTTTCCCTCCCTGCTGTTCAATAGAGCCATTTGTAAGAATATCAAAGCAGGATACTTCTTTGTACACTATTAGTCAGCAAAAGCAATAAGGAGATGGTGTGTTTTTGAGTCCTTTGCCAATGAAAATGTGACAAAGGTGTTTGGGATCTCTAATGTCACAATTACCAGGACAGAGCTGTATATAACACACATCTCCTGTTGCAGTGACACCAACAGTTTAGGTTCTTTTATCCTTTGTGAAATGTAATTCCCATTGGTCCTTGCTACAAAACAAAAAAGGGACCCTTAGTTACTCACTGTGGGAAAGCACATGATAAAGGTTGGGAGCTGGCTAAATAAATTTTCAATGTGTTTATCAAATTTTCCTATAGAAGCAGCCCAAGTATTCATAACCTTATATTAGTACTGATAGAGCAACACATAGTGCTCAGCTTTTCCAGTGCAAAGCTGTGAGCATCCTTCCAACAGGGGAAAATGCACAGTTTTGGACTTGCAGGGTAAGCACAGCTGAGAAGTTCATTTTAGTCAGGGTGATCTTTGTAGAAGACTCCAGCTTTTACTCTTTCAAGGCTGTGTGAACAGAGGTGTTTAGTAACATTAATCAAATTGTTAATGGTACTTTGGGAAAATTACAAAATTACTGTCTCAAAAGTTAAGATATATGGGGGGGGTAAGACATTTTGCAGCTGCTAGATGCTGTATTACACCATTTGGGAATCTTTAGTGTGATGTAAATCTTAAAAAGATTGGGGTTTTTCCCACTGGTTGTGGTATATCACTCTGTGCCCAGGTGGGAAGGAATAATTTCCTGAGCAGCTATTTCCTTTGTCAGCATGCTGTTCTGAGGAAAGTCTCTTGCCTTGTTCACTGGTCATTATTTCAGCCCAGCTTGTGTGGTGTATCTGTTTTCCATGACTCTTTCTGTGTTCCATGATATAGGTGCTTCAAGAAACTGAATGAATTCACCATCACATTGTTCCTGTGGGAGAGGAAGATTGTACCCTTCACATTTAAGCAAGAAGCAACTGAGATGCAGGAGAACCCAGGGAAAATCTTCCCACTGTTTTGCAAAGTCCAGCTTCAATCCTCTGCAGCCTGGTTTTTTGAGACCACCTTATATTGGCACTTGGGTTTAAGCTGCAGTTTGCAAAAAGCAGGGTGCTAATACTCGCTTACAAATTTTGATGATAACATAATTAGTGACATACACAATTTAAGATTCTGTGAGAATATTTCTTTAAAAAAGCACTGTGGTATCAGCACAGTGTGCTGATACCTCAGTGACTCAGTTGGCTCCACTAGAGCATAAAACAAGTATTATATGAAGAACAAATTGCACCCTTTCTACCACATATTTATAGAAATTTGTTCTTATGCTAGCACAGATAAAACAAGATTCCAAACTAGCAATCAGACTGCCATCATGAGGCTCCATGACTCGTATGTGCCACTCTATCACTCTGATGATAGCTATTTATCTTAGATCACAGCTCTCCTAGACACAGTCTAAATGATTTGCCTCTCAAGAGACAGCAGTCAGGCTTTCTGCAAGTGATAAAGAGGAAAAATGTGCTGATCAAGTGCAATGCACAAGCTGCTTTTAAGCACATCACTGCACTAGGCTTTGTTTTCAGTGGCTTGATGCTGAGAGCCTGTTTACTGACTCAAACAGCTGAGGGCAAACCTTTATATCTGGGAGGGATTATAGAATGACAGCATTATCCATGGTGGTTTTTTTTTTTCATTTCTTTGACTTCAAGGGCCTTGCTTTTGCAACTATGTGTACCTCAAACCCTGTTGCTGTATTCCTTCCCCATTCTGGCAAAAGCCTTTGATGATTCCTAGTGGCTCTAAGTGGCAAGAGCTGCAAGTGGAAAAGTTTTTAAAAGACATTCAGTAATTCCTTGGGAAATTAGAAAGACTTGTCCTTTTAGTATAAAAACAACTATAAAAAATCCATTCCAGAATAGCCCACGATAGCTAACACTCCCCTGGACAATGAAAAGTTCTGGTCAGAGGACCAGGAGTCAGGCACCTTGCCATCATGGACCCAATCTCAGACACGTGTGTCAGCTCTCTGGACTCCTAAAGATTCTGCTCAGGCCTTGAGGCAGCGATATTTTTCTTGTTTTGGTGAAATTGTTGACAGTGACTTAAAAATTCAAACTGTCTTACACTGTTCACTCTTTCATAACGGGATTCTCCTTCTAGCGCCTTTATTTTCAAGATTATAGCAAATAATTGTTGCTGATAAAAACTCACATTTTTACCAAGAGTGTAGCCAGCAGGACTAAGAAAGGGATCATCTCCCTGTTCTACCACTGGTGAAGCCACACCTGAAATACAGCATTCAGTTCTGGGCTTCTCACTGTGAAAGAGGACATTGAGCGTGTCCAGCAAAGCGCAACAAGGCTCACGATAGGATGAGAAAATGTGTCTGTTCTGCTGAGCCTGCAGTGAGAGGAGCAGGGGAAATGGCATTGGGCTGAGACAGGCAATGGGCTGCCCAGGCACGTGGTGCAGTCACCATCCCTGGAGGTGTTTAAGAGGTGCCTGGGGCTGGTGCTGGGGGTGGTTTAGAGGTTTAGGGGCTGCAGTGGTAGGGCCAGCTTGATAGTTAGGCCTGATGATCCTAAAGGTGTCTTCCAGCACTGATGATTCTGTGACTGTATATCGTTTCTTTCCCTTCTGTTGTGTTTCTTTCTGGTTCACAGCATGGCATTGGGTGAAAGTTATTTGCCAATTAGGATTTGTTTAGATTTTTCCCAGAAATGGTAGCTCTGTTTCCTTCCTTATCTCATCGACTGGTGTGTCATATTTTGAATAAAAGACAAAGCAGCCACTGGGCATAACCATTCAATTTTGTTTTCACTGAACATGCTAATGAAAGTAAGCCCAGAAATTTAGCTGTGTTTTATGAGCTACTAAAGGATTTTGCAGACTACACTTTTATGAGCAAGGGTTTTGAGGGTAGCACTTCATCCTGCAGCTTACCTGTCCCCCAATAGTCAGTATATTCAGGGTACATACTCAGGCACCAGGAGGTACAGCCAAGTGGACATCCCAGAAGATGCATCTGCAGTCCCAAACATATTCCTCTAGGTTATGTGTCACCATGATATTTTATGAAAAATCCCTTTGCCTCTTGAGAAGCTGAGAAGCCTAAGAAAAGAAATGTAACCATAATTATCTGATTCCTTGGAATGTGGTCTAGAGATTGTTTACCAACAGGTCAATCTTTGATTGGTTCCATGTGAATTGTTTTTACTTAATGGCCAATTGGAGTCCAGCTGTGTCAGACTCTCTGGTCAGTCATGGGTTTTTATCATTCCTTTCTAGCCTTCTGCCTGTAACCTTTCTCTTTCTTTAGTATAGTTTTAGTATATTATTTTCTTTTAATACAATATAATACCATAATATAATAAATCAGCCTTCTGAGAACTTGGAGTCAATTCTTATCTCTCACCTTGTCCCGGGGACCCTCACATCAACACCACAACAGGTTATGCTCAAAATTCAGGCTGAGCACAAAAATACACTTCCCCTTTTAATCCTTTAGGCTGGAAGTATGCTGCTCTGGCATGCCACTTGCAAGCTAGGCACTCAGAGGATGGTAGAAAAATTAAGAAGAGGGGATTTTTAGAAATCTAGCACCTTCACCATCAATAAAAAAAAATCCCTCCTGGAGCTGGTGAAGTGTCAGAAACAGGAAATCAAGCATCCTTCTCTGTTAATATTATCATTCCACACAAAAGAAGACACATGGATCTGTCTTCAAGTGGCATGAAATTTCTGTTAGTGAGTTGCTTTCTTCCAGCTTGTGAGGTGCAAAAAACCAGAGTCATACACGTTGTAGTTATGCCAGTGGCAAGATATGATATAGAAGGGATCATCTGTAAATAAACAGATAAAAAGAACATAAAAGAATAATGAGTGATTATGTGATTATGATCTTAGAAGCAGAACTTTCCAACCCCATTTGCTGTGCAAAGCACTGTGAATATTACTTTTTCCCCCTTTGGCTTTATCTCTTATTGCTTCTGAAGATGGAAATTGAATTTTCACCCTCACTTTACAATGACTTTGGAGTAATTGGTTAACAAAATACATAAAGCTGAGGTGGAGAAAGATTTACTGCAGCAGTTTTAGTTGCATCCATACAGAGTGCCATCTAGGGGAGCTCAGTAAAACCTCATCCAAGATTGATAACCTCATCTGTCCTTAAAAATCCAACTGGAAAATTCTTCATCTGTAGGATAATGTTCCAGGATCTGGCTACAGCTACTGAGCACACTGCTTGAAATACATAGGGTGCCATTAAAATTATAGTGAAATAAATTGGCAAGAGATTATGACAGGATACAGACTGACTAGGTCCATAAAATCAACAATTGCTTGTTCAGCTTGTGAGAAAAATTAGAGTTTTAAATTCCTAACATGTAAATGCAGTGATTAAATCAATGAAGAAAATTAATTTTCTTTTTTTCTCTGATAGGACAGAAAAGAAATCTTTAACTGTTACAAACATGTAAGGAAATTAGCAAATTTTTGTTTAATTTTATTGACCTGGTTTGATTTCCTGTTCTAACTTTATACATTTTTAATCAATATATATTTGGAGTAATATGATCAGGTCCATAATTGCACTTCTGCCTAACATTTCCTTGAGGATTGCTTGAGTCAGCCTAGAGAAGTCTGTTTTTTCTCCTATCTTTCTGGAAATTGTGATAGGCATCAAATAAATCCTGAAGGTCTCAAGGCAGCTAATTATGCTGAGCTACTTTGATGACGCTTGAATTTCTACCATTATTTAATTTCCCAAGATAAACTTGCTAAAGAAAATGTGCTTTATTTTTATCCTTTTAGAAAGACTCCTAAAATTCTTGTAAGAAACACTCAGAATGGCCTGTGCATTTCAGAAGAGCTCTTCAGTCTCCAGGCATGAAGCCATATGCAGACCAGTTTCCTTTTTCCTGCAGGAAGCAGCATCAGTTCCTTACACCATCCCTGTCTTCTCAGGCTTGCATGTTCCTTTGTCATCTCTTTTTGGCTTAACATGGTCAAAAATCTGTGTCTTACACATACTAGCCTCACAAGGCATTGCTTTAAAAGTCTGTTTGAGTCCAATAGCCCTGCTGTATCTCCTCTGCCATATACATTTCCTAAATTCTTTGGGTGAGGAACAATCTTCAAACTCTGTTCAGCTCTTAAGTCACAGTTCAATCTATGGCCTGGCTTCTCAGTGCTGTTAAAGATACAGACTTGGAAGACTTCATTCTGTTTACATCTCTTATGCATCATGATATGACATTCTCTTCCTGGGAAGAGCTGCCATAGACCGGTTCTATGTTAAATTAGACAATGATAAAAGTTGTTCTCATTTTTCCTTAAGCAGCAGTTTTTTCTCTACAATATTAACTTAACAATTTATACATATTTGATATTTACAAGTACAAATGGAAGTAAAAACTGAGTCTACAAACATATCAATGTCATTCTGTCATTCTGTCGTCCCTCTCATGAATTCCTAGCACCCATTTTAGCAGCAATCCCCACTCACATAACTTCAACATGAAGATAACAGTAAGTTCCTTTTTTTTTGTAATCATGACTTACAGAAGGGGCGATGAAAATCAATTATAATTATGGCTAACACACTAAAAAAACCCTGCTTGAGTTGTGGCAGTTGGAAGCAAATTAATGGTAGAAATTGGATAAATGGTTAATAAGTATGTAATCTGTTCCTGCTCTAACATTTTTCACATTACTAACCTGGAAAACTCAGAGAGTTAATGGTACCAGTGGGCAAAATTCCTCCCACTTTCATCCCCTTCCAAGTCAGTGTCAGTATCCATTGATTTCTGTAGGTCTCAGACAGTGGGACATAACACATACCTGAGTGCACCTAATACTTAAGGAGGTATGCATATTTCTGAAGCCAGGGAACGGTAAAAAATCTAAATTTTATTTCCCACTGAGTAACAGTGGGTGAAGTTGTGCTGTGATTTTTCTTTCCTTAGTAGCCAGCCCTCTAATGCAAGCTCTCCTTCCTCCCGTTTCCAGCTTTTATGTGAGAGAGGTGCTGTTATTTAGCACGTGGCTTTGTCTGCTCTACTTCACGATGAAATGACAAATGTAGAATAGTGAAAAAGCCAAAAATTGCAATGATAACACAGCCATTTTTTTCCTTTTTAAAGGACAATGTATGAATAAATCATCCATAATAGCATATTATTATCTTGTATAGTATCTACATTATAAGAAGCATAAAAACACAATAAGCTTCAGAAAGGTAAAAATGAGTTTTGCAGTGCTTTTTATTTTGTTGTTCAAGGTATACTACACTATGTGGAATGGAATTAATAACTAATAAATGTATAAAATAAAAAAGGGAAGCTTAATACTTCATACTGGATGTAACTGATAACATTGTTTAATTTTGTTGACCAACAAGTTTTTGCTTTGTGTTTTGTTTTTCTTAGAAGCATTCCAGCTTTGACATGCCTATATACAATTGCAGGACAATTCTCATTCACCTGGCACTAAACTGCACTAAATCAGAGTTTTAAATGGAATAATCTGTCATGGGAGAATACTGCATGTGGTTCAGCCCTCGTCTCTTTGTAGTGTTCTATGTTAAAATGCCAGGATGGGAAATTGTATTAGCCAAACACCTATGTCTGCTGGTAGCTGCTTTGAGTGGAAATCAAGTGATATGAAGAACCTGAACTGGGGCAAATCCCTTCCTGAGTGAGGGACTGGTACACAGACATCCCTGTCCCTTTCTAATTAGCTCCAGCAGTCACTGTGCCCATGATTCAATTAGCACTTTGTAATTTTAATTTCATTCGAACCCTATTTTTGATTTTATATAATGCCTCAAGCAGGCTAAAGTTCTTTTCCTTCTGTCAGGAGGGAGTTCCTAGCAGGGAGCTGGAACGGCCCTGACAGACCTCCCCTGGCAGAGACTGTGCCTGCTATGTGAAAATGTACATTTCACCCTTCAGCTAGATCTAATTTAGAAATGTTTGAGCTCTTAATGATTTCCTATAGTTTGGCCTAATTGAATCTAAGTGCTTTTGCATTAAAACTAGAATGCCCAGCTGGGCTGAAGCTGAAAATCTGTGACCCTGAAACACAGTCCCAGAAACACAGAAACCCTCCTCTGTGTTGGCAGTTGCCATCCACTGCAGCAAAGCCACAGCCATCTTCCATTTAGACCCAGTGCATAGATTGCAAAAATAGTTTGGTTAAGACCAGAGTCTTCTGCAGAACTGGATTACCACCAACACGTGCAGCAGCTGCTCTATGCAGTGATGCTGCTGCAGCCAGAGGGGCTCTGCTGCAGGAGCTGCTCTGACCAAAGTGTCCCCCTGGGACAGAAAGGGGCCCTGTTTCTGCTGGGAAATGTGCCACCCAGGTCAGCATCACACTGGGGAGCTGCACTCTGGAGCTCCACCTTCTCTGTGTGCTGTTTATGATTGACCAGCACCTCAAAAGTTCTCCCTCCAGCAGGGGATGGGAGCAGGGGACACGTGATGGCAGACTCAGATGGAGCTGCCTGGGCTCCCCTCTCTGTGTCTTCTACCAGAATTTGCTGCTGGCTTTTCTCTAAATCTATTAAAACCACTACAGAAATCTCACTAGTTTCTCTGGGAAATTCTCTTATTGAAGGCTTTCACAGTAGAGGACCACATACCATGCAGGGTTGACCCATTATCAGTGTTTTGTTAGGGGTTCCCAAATTCTGCTGTTCGCTTTAATGTTCAGGCAGGAACAGTAAATTATTTGCACCATGTCTAATCTGAAACCTCTTCTAAGAACACCACACCACAAGTGCCTAGTACAAAATTTCATATTGGTCTAATAATAAATATAAAAAAACTTTCAAGCACAAATACAGAATATGAACTCATAATCTTATCCTCAAGCTAAGAATGATTCAAATGATGGTATGAATAATATCTAATAATTGCCTTGCTACTCAAATCATATCCATACAAAACTAGACACACTTGTTTTTTTTTTTTTATTTTAAAGACTATTTTTTTATTTTTAAAGACTTTTTTATTTTAAAGACTAAGTTTAAGTAAAGGCACTGCTGGTGTGTCCAGAGGGGTTGGAAGAACTTAGCCAATTGCTGTCATATATTCAAACTAAATCACTGTTAGGCACTAATATTTACATTTCACAATTTCTGGCCTACTAAATTATACTTCCAAAGTAAATATCATTGCAGTATAGCTAATAATTTACAAAAGATGAGGTAAGGAAAGCAACTGCATCATTTATGTTTTCACTGAGGTGAAAAATAAAATCATCTTACTTAATCCTATGCTCCATTAGCAGGAAATTTTCCATTGAAGTCAGCACAGATCTTGGTTTCAGAGGAAAATATTGTATTCTGTAGCAACAGCCCACTTGCTATCAGCAAAGTCAGTGGAAGACACGCTTCTGAAGGTGATGGTAGTAAAGTGGCATCTTCAATGGTGTTTCCTAATGTGCTGCACTGGCAGGAAAAGAAACATCGATTTCATAGAATCATGGAGGTTTATCTCAAAGAACAGGTTTGCTTCTGGTTAAGAACTTCATGGGAGTGGGTCTGAAATTTAAGAAACTTCAAAGTAACATGCACTGCAGCATGGAAAGAATGTTAGACCTTATGAATTTTAATAATCCCCACAAGGACAAATCAACTCATTCACTCAATGACTTTTGTGCTCCAGTTAATGTCAAGTTGCATGCAATACAGCACCTTAAATTGATGATTTTGAAGTTTACTTCTGGTTTTAACCAAAACCCCTTTGTTTCTCCCAGAAATGTCACAGAAACAAATGAAACATTTTCTTCTAAATGAAAGATGTTTTATTTGACCAGACAGAGGAATTTTGTTTTCAACTTTCAATTTGGCAGGAAGCAGGAGAATCCTCAATTTTATCCATATTTATTGGTTTTGACTGTGGTTTGTTTGCATTTTCCTTCTTTGAGCTGTTTCACAGATGACTTTCTGAAATGCATTGTAAGTCCATTTTGACAGTTAGAGACAGCGTATAGCTCCAAAATCTCTTATTCAGTCCTCATGGGATAGTATGTAGGACTATCCTCTCCCTGTTTTCACATGCAAAAACCTTTGGACCTCTCCACAGAGGTGTGTTCACAGTGTGCAGTTAAAGAGGGGTGGTGCATAGATCTTGCCAACTTGCCTGCATATTTCAAACAGAACAATATTGTCTCTGGATTTTAGCCAGGGAAATAATTTAGCTTCTCAGAGCAGACAATTTTTGTCTTTGGCACAGCTGATACTCCCTAAAGAAATAAAAAGATCAGCCTATGAGCTATTGACTTAGAAAAAAGAAATTATTTTAATAAAGTGTGTGGCAGTAATGTTACTTTTAATGAGTTTAATCACAAAATTTCTCCAATTCTAAGTTTATGTAAAAATACTCATCAGGGCAGACTTATAATACCAAACATACTTCCATATTTATGGAATACATATTTCCATAAATAATTGGCAGAACAACCTACCAAGTGTTCATAGTCTGTTGCAGATATTCCCATATCTTTATAAATTCTATTAGTTTAATAGATTTTTAAGATTAAAGATTTTGTAAAATTGATCACTACTAAAGAAATGTTCTTAATTTGTTCTCCAGTTCAAGGTGTTTTATAAAGTTTCAACCTTCATAAATTTTGAATTCATGGTAACTAATGAGCTGAATAACAAGAAGAAAATAGTAGCAATAACAGTCACTTTCAGGATTCAGCATAGTTTATACATAGTTTTATTTTCCCCATGACTGCTTATGACAAGCATCTCTTTACCACCTGACCCTGCAGTCACACTAGGTTGGACATTGAGGCCATGTGCAGGCTGTTCACACCAAACACACCTTGGAAATGTGTTGCTAAACTTAAAAAATGTTTCAGGTGATGGTTTTAGCCTGACCAGATGCCCAGGGAATTTTCAGGCATGGCTCAGGGGTCAGCACGGGCCATTGACAGGTTTAAATACAGTGTGCAAGTAACCATGCTGCTGTCCATGTCTGCAAGCTCAAAGGGTGCAGGTTTTTGGGGTCAGTTGGCCCCTGCCAGAGAACAATCCTCTGCATATTTAACTTACTAGCACAGCTGAAGCTTTAGAGGCAGCCAAACTAATTTTCATGTCCATCAGCAGTGGATGAACAATTTTTGTTAAGATGAAAGAATGAGCCTGATCTTTACAACTCAGCTGACTTCACACTTGTATCAATTTCCTCTTTCATAAGTAATGGTTGCAGAATTTACTGATTTTAGATCCTTAGAAAAATAAAAGCAGGTAAAAAGATCAGTGCATCTTCTACAATTTTTTCTTTGAGATCCATAAAACTGTATCTTTCCCCTGCTGCTGATTCTTATTTTTCAGATGCTGTCTCTCTATTGCAGCACTACCCCAAAAGACACAGCCACCACATAAATGATGCATAGGCCAGGCAGTGATACAGTATAGTAAGGAAAAGCAGATGTTGAAGCAAGGAGGAGTTGGGGCAGGGAAAAGGAGGGAAGCAGGAAATGCACAAAAAGCATGGCATACAACATTGGAGAAATCAGCTACTTTGAAGTATTAGCTATGACAGGAATCACATGAAATGAGTTCTGCATCATCTGCCAATTTTAACATATGTCCTATGGGACTTCAGCTGGAGCACTGAATCAGCATCATTCATACTGCAGTCAAACTCTTTCCCATAAAAACTTCCCTCCACATTCCACTTGAGGGGAAGCCCCAGAGAGCTGACAGGATAAAAGCTTCACAGCATTTTGGGGAACTTGTAGACCAGAGCAAAAGGAGCAGCCTGATTCTGATGCCTCATGAAGCAGCTGTTGTTTACAGTAGAAGTCACGGGGTTGGCCAGTGGAACAACTGAGAAGTAAATCTCAGCAAATTTTATTCACCATCCTTTATTTCCAGACTTCTCACTGCTTTTTTTCCTCCTAATCAGAGACTGCTTTAACCCATGGCTTCTCAGTAATACCCAGCTGAAAGTCAGGCACCTGGAACAGTCATGCTGTTCTTCCAAATGTGTATGGCAGTCTAGTGCAGGCATCAGGAGCATGATTCATAAGACCAAGGCTGGACATATATATCTGAATTAGCTGTCTAGAGTCCATTTATCATATAATGAAAAGGCTGTTTCTACAAAGTGACACACTTCATGCTAAAGTTGCTTTCTGAAATGAATGGTAGACTAGAAAGTGCTTGTTTCCCTCCATTGATAGCAAAGGAAGTTCAGATGTGCTTCAGACATGATCACAAGACTGTAGACACATAAAGTTAATGAGGTGAAGATCATTCATTGTTGCTGTATATAAGGAATAAAATAATCCAGAAAACAGACTGTCACATTCTAAGATGCCTTGTAGTTGAATTAATAAAATCAAAGTTTCATTTTAAAAAAATTCCATTTCCCACAGCATGTTTCAGTTTCTATTTAATATAGAAAACACTGTTAAATGAAATATTATTATTTGTAATATTTCTCTTGAGTGTCCACTTGATGAATCAGGATATACCACAACCAGAACAGGAGATGTGTGTAGACTTTAGGCACAGGATTACTTAAAATTTGTCTGTTGCTAGAAGTAGGTGCCAGCTTGCTCATTTCTAGGAATCAGCTAAGCCTCCTTGCCAAGAAGAAAGCTTATGGTACCTGTAGCCTTTTGCTCCCTCACAGCTTTCTGGGAGCAGCCTTTCCTAGCTCCAGCCTGAGGCAAGAAGCAGTCATGAGCAGTGGTGTTCTGGGAGACTCACACCCTCATGTTTTTTCTTCACCACGTTTAAAGTGTAAGCATGGCCATATGTGTCATTTCTGAGCTTCCCAGAGCAGAACAAATTTACAGTGACATGTAAGGAAGGCCTTCAGAACAAAGCCTTATTTCTGCACTTATCCACAGGTACAAACCACAAGGTTTAACAGGGATGTAGGAATACCCATATGGATCACCCCAGTGGTCCCTGGAACCATTATTCTGACTTCAGCAATGGCAGCATGATATATTCTGTGGGGCAAGCATGTGAATGTCACATAAAAGGGGGGTTTCCTTGAACCATTTATATTTGTTTGGTCTGTGAGTGCTCCAGGAAATCTGAGACCCTCGTGCCTGCCCAGTGTGCCAGTGTCCTATTACAGGGACTCCACTGATCAGTGTGCTGTATTGGAGGGCAGTTTGGCTGACTTGCTCAGGAGCTTGTGCTGAGCAATCAGCACAATATATCAGAGCTGAATACTTTATAAAAATTTAGGAATATGAACCTCCTCCTGGATCTCCCCACTTTTATGAAGTATGACTGCTAGCACCCTTGAAGGATACACAGTAAATAGTTTATGGAATAACACACTATCAATAAGTAGTCTGATAATAAAAAATTGTGGAAATTAAGTTTAGAAGATTGCAGTTAATAGCAAAAGCCAAATTTAAAGCAATAGACAAGCTGTAATCACAATGAAAGCTATTTTGAGATAATGGTTCAGCACACAGAGTAAGTTTCTTCTCATCCAATAGGCATTTCTGTGGAGGAGAAGACAGGTTCAGCCTTGTCAGCTGATCTCAAAAGTTATGATGGAGTCTTCCATAACTTCTTCCCATTCTTAATTTTCACACTATTTCTTTAAATTTTGGGTGGACCTTAAGTGACTCCAGTCATACATACTGTTGTAAAATTTTCTTGCTTTGCTCTTAAATCCCAGAATCACAGAATATTCTGAGTTGGAAGTGACCCAGACAGATCATCAAGGCCAGCTCTTACACACACAGGGCTCAAACCCACAGCCTTGGTGTTATTAGCACTACACTCTGTGGTCAGGAAAATATTCAGCACGTGCCCAGTGAGGGGTGGTTGCACCTTGGAGGCAGGCACACCTGGGAGCTGTGTGTTAATATTACAATTAGGTTGTAATGAACCAAGTTCACCCAAGGGGAGGGATTTTGCCACAGTGGCTGGTTCAGCAGCAGCACATCTGCTCCCATCTCCCCTGGCTGGCAGGTGCTGTGCACTTCATTGGCTGCATGATACCATCGAGTTCCCCTCCCTGCAAGGATTTCAACAGACCCTGGCTGAGATGTCTCCACTATGCTCTACCCTCCATTTCATCCCTCTCAATGTGCTTAAGGTTGCAGGTTGAATATGTGGGGAGTCACTGTGGAATAGGTTTCATGCATGCCAAACCACATTCCATCCAGGAAGCAGCAATTGCATTTCACCCTATAACTTCAGGACTGTTGTAACTTTCATCAGAATTCAAATACAACTTCCCAGTTTTCCCTAATTTCAGCCCAGTCATCTTCCTACAGTGAGTTTACCATTTCCCACACTCTATTCCCTCCGTACATCCTCAGAATCCAGTAATTTCATTCATAAATTGAAATTTGCAATAGTGTGACCTCCTTACCTTTTCCACCAAGTGACGCAGGGATTTTATTTGAGTTCTTTCCTTTTTGAATTGAAGCAGTTTACATGGCTTATAATAC